ATTCTCAAAAAATAAATATTTCCCTACAAATTATTTGGGGTTTGAAAAATTGACACTTACAGAGAAAAAAAGATCTGCTGAAAACCTTCTGACCTTTTTAAGTCTCCTCTGCTGCATTTACTGATGTATGTAATGAGTCTATATGTCTAAGAAAGGAAGATTATTATCTAGCTCCTGTTAGCATATTGACACTAAATTAGTGGACAGCAAATTCTTTGCTTTGTTTATTTTCCTCTTGTATAGAAACCCATGATACTCAGAGTACTTTTATTTGTGAGTTCTCAGATGATCATTTTCATGCCATAGAAGTTTAGTGATTCTTACATATCCTAAGAGTATTTTAATTTTCTTCTCCTCCTTCTTCTTCATCTTTATTCTTTTAAAACCACAATATTAGTTTATCTCTTCTGGTATTCCAAAGTAAATGTTCATCATTTCACATCAAGATGTCAGTCAAATACACAAAGGTCTTGAAGGTATGTTGGCCCCTTCAACCTTTCAACATTGACTCTGATTTACTTAAAAATTTAATCCTAAGTAATCAATATATTCACCAAAGCAGATAGATTCCTATAGAAAAAAAAAAAAGAGTTTTTTTTCTCATGAAGAAGCATTTTCTCTACAAAGACATGCTGGTAAAATATTTCTTATGTTATACAGACACTAGGGCATAAATGTCTCTTCTTTTGAAAGAGATAAAAGATGAATAGTTTTCATCTGTATAACATTTCAAAAAGATACATGTGAAAGTAAACATAAAGTGGATAAAATTGTGTGCAAAAACATAAGGTAAAGCATAAAGCATAATAATGTAAAGCTTAACGTAGAGTAGGAAAAGCAATAGCAATGTAATTTGTAACTAAAAATGAAATTAATAGTAAAATAAATCTCTTTAAGAAAATATTATTAATAAAAGCACCCAAGCGAGCAATATAATTCATATTTTGTACATGCATTTGCACAATAAGAAACAAACATATGTTTTTTAATTTGTTTACTATTTTGTTGTTATTCTTAAATAAGACATAGATATAAAGAAGACATTTTTTTCTATGAGGGTGGTGAGGCACTGTAACAGGTTGCCCAGAGAGCTCTGGATTCCCTGGAAGTGTTCAAGGCCAGGCTGTATCAGGCTTTAAGCAACCTGGTCTAGAGAAAGCTCTCCCTGCCTATGGCAGAATGACTGGGTCTGGATCACACTGAAGGTCCCTTCCAATCCAAAACATTCCATGGTTCTATGATTCTGTGATACATGCAGTGACTTTGAAGACATGGCTGTATGTCTTTACATCGAAATCTTCAGTCACTGCTTTTGCTGCCATTCAAAGGAGGTTAACTCCCTCTGACATTTTCTACCACATTATCTGCCTTATGAACATTAGCTGTTGACCGGGAGTGCAGTTGTAGCACACGTCTGTGTTACCTCAAGTAAACAGGAGCTTACTTTTACTCAAATTATAAAGAAATAAAGCACACGTTATCATAGATAGAAAAAGGAAATTGTATTTTTCATCTAAGGTGTATGGAAGTTGTCAAATGTTGTATATTGTGTCTTGCTGCTGACTACCTAGCTCCTGAAAAACGCAGGCCATGTGTACTGAAATGCTTTTTGTATTTTTTATATTAACAATACATGGTCCTAATCTTGTAGATGTAAAGTTAAGTGATGCCAATAACATTGTGGTAAAGCATAATGGTACCATAAGCACTGCTTATTATGTTACTTCATTTGAAAGAAATTAAGTTAAAGAAAAATATCATATTCAAACATTATCTGCACTCAGCAGAAAAGGGATAGAGCTGAGTGTTCAAGTGTGAACAGAAGACAGCAACATCATCCAATTTTTAAAGCTAACCAAAGTCCTCAGAGCCTATACTGAATGTCTGTGTTACTTTTCTTTGTGCTTTAAATAGTTTTTTACATCTTGCAAGCTTAAAATCCGTCAACTTTGTATTTCAGTAGAGATGTCAAAATCTATACCTTTAAATATACTAATGAGTACTTATGGAAAAATTAAGAGGGTCAACATACATCATCTTTAACTTAATTTCTTACAGCAGAAATTAAATTAAGCTCTTTAAAAACATCTCTGTGATTGAGAACATGAACCTTTATTTCTACATAAAGAGAAGCAATGAAGCTGTCATGGTTATAGTCCAATTTAAGGAGCACTACCCTTGAAATATTTTGACTTACTGAAGCTTTAATGAGATCAAATCTATATCTAGGTCTTGATTATACTCAGAGCATTTTTCTTGGATATGCAGACATGAAAAAGAATCACACCAATTTTACTGTACTGTGCTTGGAATGAAATCACACTGACTTCTGTGTGAGGCATTTTCAACACATTCATCAGTTCAGTAATTTAGAATCTGTCTAACAGTTATCTTCCAAGATGTAGTTGAGAGCAATCTATGACAATGATTGTCCTAAGAAGAATGATTTTCATTTCCTTTAGACAGATGGATGATTTTTTTTTTTTTTTTTTTTTTTGCAGATGCTGAACATTTGTAGATGTCAGAAGCAGGCTTGTCAAAGCATTGTTTCAGAAAACCTTTTGGATTTTTTTCCTCTTCACAGAAACAAGAACTGCTGCATGTGTCTTCAAAGTCTCTGTAAAGCTGTGAGGTGACTCGATATCCCCCACCTCCCCATAATTAGAATAAATTAGGACATTTGTGAGATTAGATAGCAAATTCTAAATACAAAGTCAGATACAAATACAAAACCATATTTATACCAAGGTTGATAATATAGACACTGTTGGGGTCAAGAAGGTAGTCTCATGGGAGGGCAGATAAACCCTGTATATTCTGATATACAAAGAACATATCCATGACTTGACCATTGTTTTTTCTGTGCAGTTTCCTGTTTTGTTGCTAGCTCATAATCAGGATTAATAATCAGGTGATTCACAAAAAAAATTAAAAGTTTATATTTACATTCCTCTTTCCTATAGTATATTAATGCTGAGAAATTTTTGGCTACCTTTTCCAAAGAGAACACCTGCCTGTATTATAATCCACAATTTAAAAAACTTGTTTGAATGACCCATCTTTGATTTTAATCTAGGATTTCCTATTTTTAAGCTCTCTGTATATACCTCTATGGTCAACTATGTAATATGGGGACAATGGTTTTATAACAAGGTAATGCTAAACTTGAGTAAAGGTTATGACTATTTTGTTGATTTCTCCCAGCAAGCATTGACATTTGAACTGCAAAACCCAAGCCATACAGATGCTTATATGTCAATTCAGTAAAAAATGTATCTAGCACCAGCTTTCTTCATGATGAATATTCTTGGAAGAGATGTTCCACATAATATAGTTATGTAGAAACAATATTTTGCACATTTTTTTCACTAAGTACCTTGTTCACCTACTTACTATCGCAGTCAGAAAGTACTGTTGTTACACAAAACTGTGTCTAATGAAGTATTTAACAACTGATTTTCATTCAACTTTTTCCATTAACACATCATGTATCATCTAGCAAATCAATTATGTAGTGAGTTATGTTTAATGCTGTTATACCCCCTTCCTCACATCAGATGAGCAATGCTGTCCCTTAAACTAGCTGCTCTGGTACAAATGAAGATTATGTGTTGAGATTTACTAACAACTGAGCATGACCACTGACACTTTTTCATGTGTATCTAAAAGAAGACTGGCCTTGCAGGGTGCCGTGCCTTATTAGCTTTCCTAGAGACACTGCTCTGTGCAGAAGGTCATCCTTCAGCAAACAAGGATGCCAGGAACATTCACTTGTGTTTATTAAAAAATATTAGTTTTAATAATGAGGGTTATTAAATAGGTTAATGACCTAAATAGGAGAATTACTTAAATTTCTGGATGGTTTATTTCTGCAATGTTAAAAAAGATTCCTGATAAGTGGGACAGATTTTTTTAACTGTGTCTGTGGAAAATAATTAAATGTTTAAAGAAAGTCACAATGAAAGCTTAGCAAGAATTTTAAATTAATGCATTTTTGATATTTTCAGAAAGAAGATCTTAAGCCCTTGAGGAAACCGCTGTTAGCACCTTTCTCTTTTCAACTCCGTTTGCACTAAATATGATTTGTCACAGTAAGGACTTCAACCATGAAGAGATTGCTTTTAAAAATATAAAGCCTCAAATGATCTTTCTGGTTTTTTAGATGGGAGAGGGACTTGAAGGCCAGAAAGGTTTTATAAATTTGTTTTCAAGACTATTTTTTTTAATTTATAAATTTGATCTTGAGTTCTGATTCATTCACCCACAGTACTCTGCTCTGTCCGAAGTCCAGAAATGGACTGTTTGTTGCAAATTTTAATATCCTATATGTCAGAGAGGTGGCATGAATTTCAGACAAAATTTTCTCTTGAAACCTACTCAAAATAAAAAATAATCTATTATTCAAGTATTTCTTGATGGTAAAAAAAAGGCCTCTTATGGCTTTTAGAGAGCATTAACATTTCAAATTTATTTGCAAGAAAATCACAGAATGTACATGGCATGAAAGTGTATTATACACTTAGAGAAGGAAAGAAATTAAAGACAAAAAAAGTGCCTCTTTTAACCCTCAGGGACATCCAGTTGATTTAATTTCTACCAAAACAACTTAAATAGTGTCTTGATAGGTAAAGTGTGTATCAGTTACACCAAGAAATTGAAATATTGATTAATAACTGAAAAGGATGGTATTATTTGGGTGGAAATGTAAATACCACTTTCAATATATTCTCATAAATTCGGACTTGCACCAAGGGCTTTGTGATATATTGACCATTTAAAAATGCAGAAATTAAAAATATCTCATCAATGAATAATTTAAAATTTCATATACTACTCAAAAACTTTTGTCAAATATGCAACTAATCACTAAATAAGTAAAACAGATGTATGGAAAAATCTTATTATGTCTCTGTCTGCAGCTATTTTGTTATTACTCAGAGTAATTCTTACAACAAAATCTTCCACGGAAAGTGTTAAGGTAGAATGCTCATTGGAAGAGATTTTCTCTCACCATGAAGTTTTATTATTCAAATAAGTCCTATCCTGTTGTTTCCTTATCACACTTTAAACTCAGTACCACAGAAGTTACTCTGCTCCCTGCTTTGTATTCATGTCTGCAAAGTAAGACAACAAGGGTGTTGGGTGTTTAGGGGGTTTTTTCTCTGTAAGAATAAGGGAGAAATTCAAAGCAATGATGACATATAATTTTATAATTATAAAAGTAAAAAAAAAAAAAAAGTAAAGACAGTTTACTGTATCTAAATAGAATGAACCGATGGGTAATTCTTGAAATTTGACAGTGTGATCTCTAAGGTGTTAGCTGTTATTCCTCATAAAACAACTCAATAGTCACTAATATCTATAGAATGCTTTGCACATTAACGTTCACTTCTGGAGGATGAGAAATGTAATGATGATGTTTCCTGACAGCAACATGTGAGCTGGAGGTTATTGTTGAAAGGGACAAGGCAGAAGTCTCAAGGTGACTCTGTTTGAGGCAAAGGGCCATCTTCAAATGAGTCTTCTAACCCCAACCATTCTGCCATACATGAACAGTTTTAATCAAAGACCAGGGTATTCAGTAGTGCATCTGCCTTCTTCATTTTCCTTTCTTTTTCTACATCACATGACAACTATTCATGAACCATCACCCACATCCTCATTGCTGGGCTGCTTATAGCCAGGCCCTTGTGCACAGGGCACCGCTTTTCATCACAGGAGCTGATAAATTAGGGGTAAAAACCCACCTTCAAGGCTTCAAGACCAAATGTATATGCACTGGGTAAACAGTGGGTTACAGCCCAGCAGGTTTTTCTTCAGAAAACCTTTACCTCCTCTCTCTCACAGCTTGCACCCACCTGTCCAGTTGCAAGAACCTATGGATGCTGCACTGCAACCTATGGATGTTGTCTGGAGGAGCCCCTGTCTGGTTCTGTCCAGTCTAGCAAAGGTGGAGAAAGGTGGACAGTGAGCTGAACACAAGCCAGCACAAGCCACCCTTTAGCAAAGCAGTCCAAGGGTGTGCTGGGCTCCATAAGGAAGGGTCTTGGAAGTAAGGCTTGAAAGATTTCTTGGTACTGAATCTGCTGAGGGATGCCAACAAGGGCTTCTCTAAATGTCTAAGTGGCAAAGACCAGGGAAAAGATGAGCCCATTGCTGAATAGGGCAGGAGATACATTGCCTTGGCTTCAGTGATAAGGCAGAGGTGAAAACTCACCTGCAAGGCCATGGGAAGATACCAAATTTTCTTGCACAGCAGGCTTTCCTTCTTTGGGTGGCAAACAGTAAGAAGTTCTTTGGAACATGAGTGTCACTGTGACATCACCCCAACTTTGCTGCTTTTCAGAAGCCACAGGCTCTGTCCCCTGGCACTCTGTCCAGGACTCCTGCAGGCACACATGCAAGGTGAACAGGCTCCAGAAGGATCAGGGTTTGGCTCTTTAAGCTTTGGCTTGTTAGAGAGCAGCAGCTGCAGGCACTGGAGCAAAGGCAGCCTCTTCCAATCTCCTCTTCCATCTGCCCAGTTGGGAGGGCCTGTGTCCCACACAGCAGCTGTCCTGGAGGGTGCTGGGCTTTCCAGCAATGAAGCCTCTCTATCTTTCCCTGCTGAGTCCTTCAGGTACCCTGTGCTAGACACAGTAATGTCTGCGAGATTTTATGGGGTCTTCAGGTGGCTGGACACAGCAGGTATTTCCCCAGGGCCTCCCAACAGCTTGCCAGAGCCTGACCCAAGGCTCTCAGCCATCTAGCTTGAGCTCTGGGGAGATGTGGAGACCAGGCCTTCCCTTCCTGCTCTCACTCCCTCTACCTCCTGCCAAGGAGCAGACCTCCAAAGGGTCTGTCCAACCTCCTCCCAGGTCCCAGTGAGAGCCTTTCCAACCTAGGGCCACATGGGCTCTTCATGCCTGCCTTTCCCTGATGCACAGACAGGAGGTTTCCCCAGCACCTCAATGTTCAGTGACAGCTGCTTGCCTATGGGCAGTAAGGGCAGAAGGCAGGGATGTGGCGCTGTCCTTGGGCCAGCTCACCCACAGGGCACCTGCGGCTGTTGCTGCTGCTTTGAAACCCAGAAAGTGACCCTTTCAGGAAACCCTAACCTTACTCATCCCACAGCTAGCTTGGGCTTTCCTTGTCTTTCCCCTCTGAGCACCAGACAAAAACAGGCACCCAGGCACTTTTCATGTCCCTCTCTCCAGGACCAGGTGCAGGGTGCTGAGGAAGCCCTAGAGGAGACACTCTGCTACAAGGGGCAGCATGAGCCGGCTGCCACCAGCAGGGCCATTGGAAACAGCAGCAGCAGATGGCCTATGCCCCATCTGCCTGGGTAACCTTGAAAATGCCACCTGTGTGGAGGTCTGCCGGCATTACTTTTGCTTCATCTGTATCTGGGAATGGGCCAAACTGACAGAGACCTGCCCATTGTGCAAGCAGCCCTTCAAGCGACTGCTGCGCGCTGGGACAGCGGACAACAACCACGAGGAGCGAGTGGCTGGCAGGCTGGTCTGCCCGCCTCCAAAAGAAGGCAGCCAGGATCCAGAGCAGATGCCCAGAGCAGCGCTACAAGACGCAGGTGTGATGACACCCAGCCCTCCATGGGAAGAAGAGGGGCTGTGGGGACACACCGAGCGCAGAGAGATCCATAGCTGTGGGGCCCTCCGATGCCACTTCTCAGCAGGCTGCTGCAGGCAGCACTGCTCATGAGGGAGCACCACCGAGCACAAGGGAGCACCCGGCCAGCCCTGCTGCTACATCAGACAACAGGTGCAGCAGCAGGGCTGCTGCAGCTCCTGCAACAGCCTGATCTCTTTCACTTGCTATAAACAGCCAGGCGCTTTCAATTTTGGGATGTGTATCATGATTTCAATCTTTTTGAACTGCTGCAACAGAAGATGTTTCTCTCCTGCTTTCCCTGCTTCCCACTTCCAAGCACTAGGGCGGGGTGTCCAAATTCTTTGCCCAGCAGCTGCTCCTGCTGGTGCTTCTGCATCCAAATGTTCCTGGCCATTCTTTAGGCCCTACTCTCAGTCCATCTTTGACAACAACAGCTGAAACTCCACCCACCCAAGTCCCCCGCGGCTGTGGCTGGCAGGCAGGAGGGGGCTTGTTACGTTCTTATGGCTGAATGCTCTCTGGGAATGGGAGTTCAGAAGCAGTATTAAAGAGTCTGTATTGAAGGGAAATCTGGATGGCCTATTTTCAGCAAGAAGTCAGGGGTAAATCTACACAAAGTAGCTTTGGCTACTTTCTCCACCATGGAAAGTCACACAGATACAGAAGTGCCCTGAACAGTGAGGTTTAAGAAAGGATCAATTCACAAACTATCCAAACTTAATTTTTATCTATGAGCCATTTTCAAGAAATGGAAACGTGCCAGCAGTGACACAGAAACTAAACTGTAAACCACAAGAAGATGAAATGCACAATCCTTCTTGGTTTGCACCTACAAGACTTCCCAAGACATGGACAGTTGCTCAGCTCTGATGCTAACCTGGCAAACCCGTGACCAAATCTGAAGCAAGATGTCACTGTGGTTTTGGCTGGTCTAGAAATAGCCCAGCTCCTTCACTCTCCAAGCCGGGCATGTGCCAAAGCAGCTCTGTAGATGGGGTCCTGGGGGACAGCAAGCAGCAAAGGGCCATATTCCATGTCTATTTGACATGGAAGTGATTGGTCAAAGGTTGGATTTAGTGACCTTGGAGGTATTTTCCTTCCTAAATGATTCTGTGATTCTGTGATTTCTACCAATTAGTAACTGATAGAAATAAGGTAGAAAAAGAGGAAAAATTTTCTGTTTAATAATGGAAAGGTGATTTTCTAAGGAATATCGCAAGATAAATATTCCATCATTTTACTGTCTCCTAACAGCAGGTTTTGCCAGAGAGTAACAGGGAAGACATTCTTTTTCCTAAAAAAGTAATATTTTATGATGCATAGATTTGAGCGCATAAGACCTGAAAGTATGGAGAAATTATACTAAATATGTTTTTACTTTTGTCAACATAACATGTAGTACTAGAGTGTGTGGTTTCAATGGTGTTACTGACAATTCAAACCTCAGTAGTGATTTGACTTGTTATAAATTATAGAACCATGGATACAATAGTCCAGATACTTGATGTTATTTCCAAGTTGTGTTAACACATATCTCACCCTCTTCGTTTACTGACTAACACATAGTTGGAAGTGGATTTGATCAAACATTACATCGAAAAAGTTACATCTCATTTCTCGTATAAGAAATCTCCTAACAAAAACCAATTTTGCCAAAATCTTTAACAAGCAAGTACTAAAGTCTACAAAAGAAATATCAGCCCATCACTTTTTTACTGTCAGAGCTGAGACTATATAAGCTTATTATACAGGGAGAACATTTTTTGTAAAAGTTGTTTCTAACAATTAAAATTTGGGATTATAACCAGAAAAAGCCCACAAATAAATAAACTAACCCCCCAAAATTATGCTTCTCAAAACAGCATTAACGTGAAAATGGATTCCATATTATTTATTTTGTCACTATAGAAAGGAAGAGGAAAAATAATTTTAATTACAGTCAAATGCTTATACTATGCCTTGGTAAGAATGTTCAAATAACTGCTTTACACGAATGATCATGAAGAGTATGGGTATTTTATTGTACAAGTCTCAATATGCAACAGGTTGACTAACAGTTAAAATGATGTTATCAGTTATATGAAGGAGCTCGTAGACACCTTGTTTCTCACCTTTTCATTTTTATTTCATTTATAAAACAGAGCAAAATCTTTTAAAGCTGAGAGAGCTTCACAGTTGGAACATGTGGGACTCAGATTCAGTCAAAGAAAGAAACTGAGAGTTTCTAGCCAGGCAAAAAGCCTGGGAAAGAGCTGGAGAAGAATGTAAATAATTCTTTATCTCTCTAGTTTTTCACATTGTTTATAGTTAAGTTCTATCACTATATGTCAAGCACTTTGCACCAATGCTTTGGGTTGTTTTCCCTTCAGAACCAATGGAGTTGGTCCTCACTAAGCTCTGTATAAAAGAGCAGTGTATTTTGAATAAGTCAGAGTTTTACTCTCGTGCAGCCTTCTGGTCAGTCTTCTCATTCCGTCGTGCCTCGACAGCAACAGGAACACACCAGGAAAAAACAAACTCAGATTATGAAATTTGTTATTTGGATACAATATCTGTTATATAGATTCACACAGTTGCCCAGGTTGAAAGGTTTCTAAAAATATCATCTGCTCCAACCTTTTGTGGGAAAGGGAGACTAGAAGAAGCCTTCTAGCAGCCCCGTAGGAGGTTGTTCCAGTGTATGATTGTTCCTCCTATAAAAAGCCTCTCCCAATGCAACTTGGACTCATTGCCTTTGTCTTCTCTGCATGGGTCCTTGTGAAGAGAGACTCTTCTCTTTGTAGCTGCCCTTTAAGTCCTGGAACATTGTGGTGATGTCCCTCATAAGCCTTCTCCATTGAGATGAGATCTAGGTCCTTCAGTTTCCTCAAGGGTTGGGTTCTCCAGCTCTGATTATCTTTGTGACTCTCCTTTGGACATTCTTCAGCATGTCTGTGTTTTTCTTCAGTTGTGAAAACCAGAACCAAACACAATACTCCAGATGAGGCCTGACAAGACCTGAGTGGAAAGATAACTCTGCTAGTGGTGTCTCTGAATGCAGCCTGGGAGATGTTTTTTTGACCTGACCCATCAATTTAGCGCCCCCAAAAAAATCCATCAAATAAAAATAAAATTGTTTTCTTTCTCTAATGTTAGAAAACATATATAGATTTATCAATTTTAGTCCAGCTATTTTTCTTACTATGCTAAATTCTTTTATTCCTTTCATTTTTCTGAGACACTCAAATAATAAATAAGAGTTCCATCATTATGCTAAAAGGTCTAGGCAGCTCTTCTGTATTATGATTATTCTTACAATATCAAACCTGGCTAGAACAGCTGTGACTAAAAGTAATTTTATAAAAGCCAAAATCTTACCTGAGAGGAATATAGGTTTCAATGAATTTTTCAAAGGAAGGTTTTCTGCAGTCAGGAGATTCCTGGTCACCTCTAATGAGAAAGAGATGGATTAAAAACCTCAGGTATTATTTTGAAAAAAAATCAATTTTTGACAGAATTCCAATGTCAAAAGAACATTTGTGGCCATTCCAATGTGGAATAGAAACAAAGTTTGAGGTTTTAAAAGTTCTTTTTCTGCCAGGCTCACTGCCACATGTGATGACACTGAGAACCCTTTTTTCCAGAATACCAGTTCATGGTTCAGTGAAACCAGTCTTTTATTTTTATGCCATGGGTTGTCTTGAGATACTATCTATACTTTGATACCTGCAAACAAAAACTACAAAATAACTGAGAGTGAGTACAGAAAACAAACTATGAATTTCATATTAGGGGTTATTTATATACTGTCAGTTAGCAAGGAAAACACATATTAATCCACAACCATTGCTTCATTCTGGGGTTCACTTCAAGCTCTAATGCAAAAAGAAATAAAAAAATCAAAACCAAAACCAAAACACCAAAAAAACCCAAAACAAAAGGCTTCACAGGCTAAGATCATGTCTGCTGTTACTAAGCAAAGTGATATGATTTAAAAATTCTGAGAAAATATTCAGAAGAATATTGTCACTTTAATATTATAGTAAATGCTTTTAGTGTACAGATTCTCATGAAGACTTACAGGTGTAGAGGATTTGATAGACTGCAACTAAGCAAACTGAGGGAATTGAGCAAGGTCCTTGCAAAAGCATTCTATAATTTTTGAAAGAATAAGTCTGTGCTGACTGAAGAAAGGCAAATGCTTCATCCACCTTGATAAAGGGAGCAAACCCAACAATCTGGGAAATCAGAGATGAGTCTGCTTTAGTCAGTCCAGCACTAAATTGCCTCTGATCAACCTGATTGTCTTCTATGAGAAACAGATTGAAAATGTGATTGAAGAGAGAGAAGGGGATGTCTTTTACCTCATGTGACTGAAGGGAAAGCAAGTGGTATCATTTACCCCAACTTTGTTACTCTTTCAACATTGGCTCCTATAATATTGTTGAATCCATGTTAGGAAGGCCCAATCAAGGTTTAGATTGATGGATCAGATGGCTACACAACCCACCTGTTTGGATGACTGGACTCAGAGGGCAGTGGTTAATGAGTTGTCCTCTACACAGAGACCAGCTGTAGTAGCAAGTGGTGTAATGCAGCAATCTACCCTGTGGGAACAGTCTTGTGTAAACTTCATAACTGATGATGACTCCACACTGGGGTAACTAGGCCATATGCTTCAGGGTAGGGCAAAGGGACCTGGAAGAATGTATTCTCACAAAGTAAAAGGAAAAATTAAAAATGCTTCATCTGGGCATGAGGAGCTCCTTGAGGTGACACAAACAGTCGACGGAAGACTGGTGAGTAGCTCTGGCAGACAGCAAGCAGTGTATGAGCAAGCAGTGCTCTAGCACCAAGGGGACCCAGCAGTCCCCTCCGCTCTATTTATAGGAGTTGAGACAACACATAGAGGGACTGATATTGAGCTTTGGTCAGTCCAGTGCAGATAATACACTGTTAAACAGGAAGAAACTCAAAAGTAGAGCAAGATCTAAATGTCTTTCATTTATAAAGTGCCAAAGTGTAATCTGCACAACACGACTGGTCAGTCAGCACAAAGGATAATGTGCTTGACTAACTCTTATTATCCTATATTCAGTGCTTTATAGTGAGAGTGTAAAGCCCCCAGACGGATAAGGGTAAAATTTTTCCATAAAAATTAAATTACTGGAAAAGCTTACTTTGTCTTGGAAATGGAACTAATGGGATTAATGATAGAAAAGCAGTGAGAAATTCTTTGTGCTTTATT